GATGGCCTAAAATATAGATCAGGTTGTTGGAGGTGGTAGTTGAATATGATTAGATCATGAGTTTGGTCTTAGACATGTTGTGCTTAAAGAGTCTGAGACATTCAAGTAGAGGTATCAAGTAGATAGGTAGTCTCCCACTGGAGAGGTCAGAGACATTTAGATTGACACTGTGGGCATGTACGAGGGGATTTCAAAAGTTCATGGAAATATTCCGTTATCTTTTAATTACATTTCTCTTTGAACTTTTGGAGCCCTCTCATATATAATTGGGGATAGAGTTGAGAGAAAATAATCTGCCTGAGGAACTCCTCCAACATTAAATGTCTAGCTAAACTATGGTGGATCTCTAAAGGAGTCTATGAAGGAATGCCCCTTTAGTAAATCCTTTTAGGTGGAAGAATGGAGGAGGGAAAGCAGATTGAGAGGGTTGAGATGAATGGTAAATGAAATGGAGATGGTGAAGATAGATATCTCTTTAAGTTTGACTGTGATGGGGACCAAAAACATGGGGAAGGATAGCTGGAATAGGATATGGGACCATGTTTGTTTTATCTCATTCTCTCTCTCTATAACATGCACACACTTCCACACCCTTTTAAGAAGGAACCAACTCGATGGCTCATAACAACAACACAACATAGTCACTTAATTTGCATAGTATATTGATCAATTCCTGCAAGGTTCATACCAATTACAGGGGAGGCTGTACCCCATATCAGACAAAAAATATATCAAACCAAGTTGTTTACAATTTACCCAAGACATGTAGCAAATCCTCTATCGTAGAAAACTAGAGCAAAGATAACATTTTAGGGTTTAGGGAGAAAATCTCTCAAGCTGTTTTACCAAAGAACCAGGGTAAAAGGACACATAAAGGAACTCTTTTCACCACAGAGATAGCATCCTTTTACTTTCAGAAATCCATAAAGAGTGTCCTTCTGCAGTTTTGCTCATTCTATTTCTTTGACCCATGGGCCACACACAAGGTTTTTAATATTGTTGTTGTTGTTGTTATGTGCTGTTAAGTTGGTTCCGACTTATAGTGACCCTGTATAGGGTTTCGAAAGAGCAGCTGGTAAGCTTGAACCGCCGACTTTGCAATTCAAACCAGCCTTGCAGACCAGCACACTAACCCGCTGCATCATACCAGTACTCCTTTTAATAATATTAGTTCATTTAAATATTTTGTCAGGTGACATGTGAGTACTTGGGATTTGAAGATAAATATGATCAAGTCCTGCCCTTGAGGAATGTGCAGTATAATACATATATCCTCTTATGAATTAATAAAAACAACCACGATTTGTTGAAGGCTTAATATATGCCAGCCATGAGGATAAGTGCTTTGTATATATTCTTTATAAAATTTAATCTTCACAAAAATCCTGCAGAGTAAATAAATATTATTTCTCTCTTTATCTTCATTTTTAGATGAGGAAGATTGAGGCTTAGAAAGGACATGGAACTTTAACACACTTAGTTAGTATCTAGTAATGGATATGAGATTTGAGCCCAGACCTGTCCAACTTCAGTTTTAATTATATCACCCTGCTTCTTAGTGTATCATTTAGAGATGCATTAGGCCTTACTCAGTTAACATCACAGAAACACAACTTGCTACCTTGAACAAAGGGGAATTTAGTGGTTCTTATGCACCAGACTGCAAAGCTATTTGAACTGCAAGATTAGTGGTTCAAGCTCACCAGATACTCCTCAGAAACCCTATACAGGGTCACTATGGGTCGGAATCAACTCAGTGGCACTTAACAACAACAACAATGACTCGAAACAAAATTCAGGGATAAAATGGTCTTTAGGCACAGTTTAATTCAGAGCCTCAAGTAATGTCAGGATCTTACCTTTTTTTTCCTCCTCTCAGCCCTTTCTTTGTTGGCTTGATTTTCAGACAGGATTCTCCATGGCACTGAAAGGATAAATGTTGGTAGTACTAAGCCAATATTCTCTTTGTTGCTGTTGTTAGGTGCCATTGAGTCGATTCTGACTCATAGCAGACCAGAATGAAACACTGACCAGTCCTTCACCATCCTCAAAATTGTTATGTTTGAGTCCTCTGTTGCTGCCAGTTTGTTGCTGCCATCTTAATGGAGGTCTTCCTCTTTTTGTTGACCCTCCACCTTACCAAGTATAATGTCCTTTCCCATTATACTTTACAAGTATAATGTCAGGAGGGAGGACTGATCCCCCCCTGACAACATATCTAAAGACAAGACACTAAGTGTAACTCACTTCTAAGGAGCATTCTGGCTGAACTTCCTTTAAGAAAGATTTGCTTGTCTGATATGGCAGTCAGTGGTATTTTCAATATTCTTCGCCTACACCGTAATTCAAATGCATTGATTCTTCTCTGGTCATCTTTATTCCCTGTTCAACTTTCACATGAATATGAGATTGACAACACTAAGGCTTGGGCCAGTCAAACCAATAGTCCTCAAAGGGGGATCTTTGCTCTTTAACACTTTAAAGAGGTCTTTTGTAGCAGATTTGCCTAATGCAATACACTGATTTCATGACTGCTGATTCCATGAGTGTTGATTGTAAATTCAAACAAAATGAAGTCTTTGACAACTTCAATCTCTTTTTCATTAATCATGATGTTATTTATTGATCCAATTGTGAAGATTTTTGTTTTCTATACATTGAGGTGCTATCCATACTGAAGTCTGTAGTGTTTGATCTTCATCAGCAATCCCCTCCATGCATCATCTTTCAAAAATATTTGCTTCTATTTCCTCTGTTTTGTTTGTTTGATGTACACAAAAACACTCAGGAATATATAATCATTTAAATAACCCAAGGACAAGCATTCTGCAAGCCTGCCTCCTGGCCTCCAGCACACAGCCTTTCTCTTTGCATGAGTCTAGAGTCCTCAGCTGCTCTCTCTATCCATGTCCTCATCTCTGCCTCCATCTCTGGTGTCGCTGCTTCTCTGGAAAGGGTCCCACATTCTTCTCGTGCTCTTTTCCCTTCATGGTCCTAGGGTTCTCTGTTCCTAGAATGTTGGATTAACTACTCCCCAGTTTGTTACAAAACTTCTAACTTTACAATTATGAAAATCACAATTAGTCATGATAACAGTTACTCATTATTGAATCATAATCTTATCCCCATCTCCTTTCACCAGACCAGTCTAGACTAGACCTTCTGTCTTTTGATACTTTCTGCATCATTCAATATTTTGCACAGAATCCTTCAATATTTCAAGTCAAGGTTTGATTTTTTTTCTTCAGTTCTTTCAGCTTGAGAAATGTTGAACATGTTCTTCCCTATTAGTTTTCTAACTTCAGGTCTTTACACATTTCAATATAATACTTGACTTTGTCTTCTAGAGCTGCCCTTTGAAATTTTCTGTTCAGTTCCTTTACTTCCTCGTTTCTTCCAGTTACGTTTGCTACTCTGTGCTCAAGGGCAAGTTTCAGAGTCTCTTCTGAAATTCGTTTTGGTCTTTTCTTCATTTCCTTGCTTTTTAAGGACCTTTGCTTTCTTCCTTTATGATGTTCTTATTGTCATTCTACAACTCTCTGGTCTTCAATCATGAGTGTCTAATGCATCAAATCTGTCCTTGAGATCATCTCTAAATTCAGCTGGGATATACTGAAGGTCATATTTTGGCTCTTGTGAAGTTGTTTTAATTTTCTTTAGTTTTAGCCTTAACTTGCATATGAGCAATTGATGGTCTGTTCCAGAAGTTGGCCCCTAGCTTGTTTTGGCTGATGCTATGGAGCTTCTCTGTCATCTTTTCCACAGATGTAGTCAGTTTGATTCCTGTGTATTTCATCTGGTGAGGTCCATGTGTGCAGTCACTGCTTATGTTATAGTTATTTGCAATGAGTAAGTTGTTGGTTGGTCTTACAAAATTCTAATCATGTGATCTCAGGCATCATTTCTATCAGCAAGGCCATATTTTCTGGCTGTTAATTTTTCCTCTGTTTCCATCTTTCACATTAGTCAGTAGAAATTATCAATGTGTCTTGATTACATGTTTGATCAGTTTCTTCAGTTTCATCATCACTGGCTTTAGTGCTTAGTGTGTAATTTGAATAACAGTGGTATTAACTGGTCTTCCTTGTAGGGATATGGATATTATCCTATCACAGACAGCATTGTACTTCAAGATAGATCTTGAAATGCTATTTTTAATGATCAATGCGACACCATTCCTCTTTAATTACTCATTCCTCACATAGTAAATCATGTAATTTTCAGATTCAAGATAGCCAATACTAGTTCATTTCAGCTTATTAATACCTAAGATACTGATCTTCATGTGTTCCATTTCATTTTTGACAACTTCCAATTTTCTTAGATTCATACTTCATACATTCCATGTTCTGATTATTAATGGATGTTTGCATCTATTTCTTCCTATTTTGAGTTGTTACCCCTCAACAAACGAAGGTCCCAAAAGCTTTGCTCTATCCACGTCATTAAGATCAACTCTACTTTGAGAAGGAAACTTTCCCAATCGGATTTTGAGTGCTTTCTACCCGGATGGGCTCAGCATCCGGGACACTATCAGATAATGTTCTGTTGCTATTTAAAAGGTTTTCTGTGGCTAACCATTCAGAAGTGCTCTGCCTATCTTTCTTCCTAGTCGGTCTTGCGCTTGGAAGTTCTGCTGAAACCTGTCCGCCTTTTGTGACCCTGCTTGTATTTCAAACACCGGTGGCTTAGCTCCCAGCAGCACTCAAGCTGCCACAGTATGACAAGCTGACAGGCTCAAATGAATGAGTGACAGGCACAAGCCTACCTATACCTCATCCATTAACAATTACTCTTCCATACAATTTTGCACAACTGAGGAAAGTTATTAATAGCAATGAAATACACTTCCTTTGTAAAAATATATCCAAAGTTCATCATAAATAGGAGCGATCCTTGGCTAGGGAAAAGAGGGTGAGGGGGGTGGGAGGTGGTAGTAAGGTGAGAGACAATTATATATACCAAATAATCTGAAGTTTTCCTTTGTGTTCTCTTTGAAGGTGAAGTCTGAAATATTAGACATGGCAGATAATGCATTTGATGATGAATACCTGAAATGCACTGACAGGATGGAGATCAAATATGTTCCCCAGCTGCTAAAGGAGGAAAAAGAAAGCCATCAGCTCTTGGCAACTGTGTGGGAAAATGCAAAAGCTAAATGGGAAGCTCAGAAAACTCAGCTCTTTCTCCCTATGAGTTTTAAGGATAATCATGGCATAGCCCTGATGGCATATATTTCTCAAGCTCGAGAGAAAACTCCCTTTTACCACATGTTCAATGAAGCTGTGAAGATGGCTGGCCAATCTCGAGAAGATTACATCTATAGTTTCCAGTTCAAAGCTTTTCACTTTTACCTGACAAGAGCCCTGCAGTTTCTGAGAAGCCCTTGTGAGGATACATACAAAAATGTAGTGTATGCTACAAGCCAGGGTACTTCATTTCTGTTTGGAGGACTAAACCAAGCCAGATTTGGTCGTTTCACCTTGGCATATTCAGCCAAACCTCAAACTGTTAATGACCAGGAGAGCCTGCTAACTATCAACACATGCTTTGGCATTTCCATTGATAAATTTTTAGATAAAAAAAGTAAAGGAATCGTTTTAATACCACTGAATGAGGTCTTTCATGTGACACAGGAAGAAGTTGGCAATAACTTTATTCTTCAAAGCACAAACAAGACTTGCAGCCATTATGAGTGTGCATTTCTAGGCGGTAAGTTCTCTGGTCCATCAATGAGGGAATGACGGGTTCTTAGGCACCAAGTGTGAGGGTAGGTAGGAGAATGAGGGCTTTTTGAAATGACATTTGTGGTTTCTGCTCTAGCTCCTTCCATACTGCTAGTTTCTTTTTCCATTGTTTAGTTTTATCAGAATAATGCATATACAAAGTTTAAAAGAAAAGTAAAGTAGTACAGTAAAACCCAAACCAAACCAGTTGTTATCAAATAGACTTCAACTCATGGAAACCTCATGTGTGTCAAAGCTGTGCTCCATAGGGTTTTCAGTGGCTGATTTTGTTAGAAGTAGATCTCCAAGCTTTTCTTCTGGGTGTATTCAAACTTCCAATCTTTCAGTTAACGAAGGCTGTGGTCTCACCCAGGAGCAATTTTATCAATGCCTGGAAACATTTTTGGTTGTTAGAACTGGGAAGGGAAGGATAGTTGCTACTGGGATAGAGTTCAAGGGAACTGCTAAACAACGCACAGGACAGCCTCCAAAACAAAGAATTGGTTGTTGTTAAGTGTTGTCAAGTTGTTTCCACCTCATAGCAACCTCGTAAAGCGTTTCCGAGAAGCGGCTGGTGAGTTTGAACCACTGACCGACCTTGCAGTTCCAACGATCTCACGATCCAGAGTTTATCCAAGACTTCCTATCTGAAAAATCTGTCATTAGGCTTGAATAATAGTTTATTTAGGTTTGTAGTTCAGGTGGGAATTATTTCCCCTTGATAGTTTGAAGATATTCTTTCAGTGACTTGTTTCTGGAACTGCTCTTGGGCTTTCTTGAATGTGGTATGATTATACCTAGATGTTCCCCTTGTTGGATCTTGGAGGGTGTACAGATGGACTGGTGCAAGAGATACGAGTCTATATGTGGCGGGCATTAGACTACTAAGCCAGGTGGCTTCTGTGCCCACCAGTGGAATCTTGTTTCAGTGTTCTTGAACTGTTGTTTGGGGGACAAAGAACAGCTCTGGACTGCTGTGAGAACTCTGTGCCCTAAACAGTAGGCTAAGTGCCCTGCTTTGTATTCTGCTACAGAACTGAGTAAATTAAAGAGGGGTTTGGCTTGTTGGGTCTTTTGAGTGTGATGTTCTAGCTGAATACAAGCTCTGACTGCTGATCTAGCCGAGTGAATATCACAGTACGGCTCAGAAGTGAGGTAGACTTTCAGACCCTTGACTCAAGGTGGCCAAGGTACTATTAGAATAAAAAGATGGGTAGGGAAGTGCTGATGAGACAACAGTCCACTTAGGATTTAATGTCAGAAACTATGTGGCACAGGCCCTGGACTAGGGTGAGGCCTCCTGGAGGCCAATGAGATACCTCGGGTGCAAATTTGAAGGAGGCCCTCGTTCGCAGCGTCTTACACTTACACTACCCTGCACATGCATGATCTTGAAAATGAGTGCTGCTTTAAAATTTGCATCCTAGGCACTTCACTTAGGAACTCTGGTGACACAATAGTTAAGCAATCAGATGCTAACTGGCTGGTTGCTGGTTCAAACCCACCCAGTGGCTCTGTAGGAATAAGACCTAGCAATATGTCTCAGTAAAGGTTATAGCTAAGAAAACCCTATGGGGCAGTTCTACTCTGTCATATAGCGTCCCTATGAGTCAGAATTGACTTGATGGCACACAATAACAAATGGAACTTCGCTTGCTTCATCCCAAGTTCCAGTGATAAGTAGTATGTGAGTGGGACTGATTCTTCTTCTTGAAGGGGCAGATGAGGGCCACAGTTGTGCCAAGGGAAAAACTGCACATTCCCTTCACCAGCCATGTATTGGACTTGGCCAAAACCCAAATAGGCTGAAGCCAACTCTACCAGTTTGTGGGAGCTGATTGTGGTGCCTGCTGATGTTACATCAGTAGCTTGAAATTGGCCAGGATTGAAAAGTTTTATGCCATGGATAACACTGCAAATGAGGGCTTCTTGTTTAATTTAATTTACTTTTTTTATTTTTCCTGGACAGCCTGAAATGCGTTAAACTTTAGCAGCCCATCGCTGCCAGAAACTCAGTGTAGATGGCCTCATTGAAATGATACTGCTTTTGATGCTACTGATGCATTGGGTCAAAGGCCCTTTGTGGAGGTATTCTGGCTACAGTAACTAACTGAAGTGGCTAAATTCAGCACTGGTATCTGCACGATGGTCATAAAGGATCACAGCAGCCCACAGACTCCATGTTTGTGACTGGGATTGTGAAGAACAAAAGGGTAGAGCCATTGGGTTGTGCTGAATGAGTCAGAACTCGGATCCACATGAAGTTCAAATGAATCCTCTGTGTAACGAAAGGACCAGGAGAGTGGGCGAACTGCTGCGGATTATCCCATAGTACTTGCCTTTACTAATCTGTAGTGAACAATTTCACTTATTTTTTACCACATCTGTGGAAAAATGGTGGAATTTTTCACTACAGATTAGTAAGTAAACACAATCCAGGCTTACTGGGTAATTTGTCCCTGGGGCTTGCCCACAAAATCAGACATAAGTATGTAATTACTGAGTGTGACTACTGGGAAAGAGATCTTTGTGAAGGCTTCTTTGTGTCATTTGTTTCGAGGGCTGCATGCTCTTGTGTAAATTTGACACTAAATTTGATGTCTACTCTTGTGTAAATTTGATTGTTGTCTACGCATATCCTCTGTTGCCATATTGCTGTTGTTGTTGTTGTTAGTGCTGTTGACTCATAACTACCTTATACAACAGAATGAAACACTGCCTGGTCCTGTGCCAATTTCACAGTTGTTGCTGCACTTCAGCCCGTTGCTGCTGCTATGTGCCAGTCCATCTCGTTGGGGGTCTTCCTCTTTTTCTCTGGCCCTCCACTTTATAAAGCATGATGTCCTTCTCCAAAGACTGATCCCTCATAAGATGTCCAAAGTGTGAGAGACAAAGTCTGGTCATACTGGCTTCAAAGAACATTCTGGCTATCCTTCTTCCAACATAGATTGGTTTGTTCTTTTGGCAGAATACTTTTAATATTTTCCTCCGAACACCACAGCTCAAATGCATCAGTCCAGTGAATGCATATGAGGTTATACCATGGATTGGATCAGGTGCACCTTAGTCCTCAACCTGACATCTTTGCTTTTCAACACTTTAAAAGGTGTTGTGCAGCAGAATTGCAATACATCGTTTGATTTCTTGCCTGCTGCTTTCATGAGTGTTTATGGTTGATCTGAGCAGAATGAAGTCTTGGACAACTTTAGTCTTTTCTCCTTTATCTTGATGTTATTTATTGGTCCAGATTTTTGTTTTTGAAAAGATTGGAGTTGTCAAGGATTTCATTCTTCTTGGATCAACTATCAAGACTCATGGAAGCAGCAGTCATATTGCATTAGGCAATCTGCTGCATGTATTGCATTAGGCAAAGCTGCTGCACAAGACCTTTTTAAAGTGTTGAGGAGCAAAGATGTCAGCTTGAGGACCAAGGTGCGCCTGACCCAAGCCATGGTATTTTCAATAACCTCATATGCATGCGAAAGCTGGACAGTAAATAAGGAAGACCGTAGAAGAATTGATGCTTTTGAGTTATGGTGTTGGAGGAGAATACTGAAAGCGCCATGGGCTGCCAAAAGAACCAACAGATCTGTATTGAAAGAAGTGCAGCCAGAGTGCTCCTTGGAGGCCAGGATGGCCAAACTTCATCTGTTATACTTCGGACATACTGTCAGGAGGAACCAGTCACTGGAGAAGAATATCATGTTTCATAAGGTGGAGGGTCAGAGAAAAAGAGGAAGACCCCCCAGTGAGATGGATTGGCAAAGTGGCAGCATCAATAGGCTCAAACGTGGCACCAATAGTGAGGTTGGCCCAGGACCGGGCAGTGTTTCGTTCTATTGTGCATAAAGTTGCTATGAATCAGTACCAAATTGATGGCACCTAGCAACAACAACATCAGCAACAACAAAGGGAAGAAGTGACTGGCTTACAAGCTTTCAATAGGGAGCCTGGATCCAGAGGGTGAGGAGGAATGTAGAATCTTCACTGAGTAGTAATCAATCTGTCCGGGTGGGGCTGATAAAAGGAGATGCGGATAGGACTCTTGTGGTACAATAGTGAATAATTGCTATCAGGACTGACTGTGAGGGTTGGAAATGTAAAGGTAGACGTTTTGTAGTAAAAGGAGGGGAGAGGTTGACTTTGCAGTCCAAGAGCGGAGGTCCATGGGATCATCAATGGAGAAGAGTGGAGTGCGGGACCCTACCCAGAGAAACAGTGATGCTAGAGATGGATGCAGAGACGATGACATGAAGAGATGGAGTGGCTGGGGACTCTAGACCCAGAGAGGGAGAGGGGCTGTGTACTGATGACTGAGGGGCAGGTTTGCAGGGTATACCCTTTAGTTGTTTGATTATGCATGGAGGGGATTGTAACCATGGCAGTGAAACGATATACGATAGGATGAATGTAAAGCTAATGTTCTCCCATGTAAATGATCACATAATTACAATAAAAACTTTTTTAAAAAAACAACAACAAAAACCGCAATGACCAGGAGTTTCTAAAGGCCAATCTAAAAGAATATAATCAGTTATTTTGTGATTGAAATATGAATGTGCCTCTGAATGAGAAAAACCAATATTGCTGAAAGGGTTACATATATTATAGCAAACCATCATATTTAGTGTGCTAAATGTTTTCTTCTATAAGAGTAAACTAAAAAGTGTTGTTCCCAGGGTTCCAATTCATACTTACATGGGTTTGTTCAAACAAAATGTGTTTAAAATGTCTCTATGATTAGTGGATGGTTGTAGACAAGTTCTCTCAGGAATACACTTTTCTTAGTCTCATGAGCATGCCTGCAAAACAAACATCCAGTCAGAACCACAGCTTCCAAGGGGATCAGCTGAGCCAGTTCAATTCAAGGCAGAGAGGTCAGTTCAGAAGGTTATGGCTACTATGTTGTACTATTATTACTAAGGTGTAACATGGTAGGTTTTCTCAAAGGACACTGGAGGACTTATTAAGAAGACGTATTAAGAA